AATATGACTTTACAGTGATATATAAGAAAGGAAAATCCAACACCAATGCTGACGCTCTTTCCAGGGTAGAAATACACAATGAAGAAATCGAGTCCATAGTAGACGAGCTCTGCTCAATTTTACCCAATGCTTCAGAAGGACCTCACTCTAAAGTCATTTCGACCACAGCGACGGCACATACAAGTGCAGAGCACCCAATTTTAGAAGTTCCCATTACAGACGACCCTATTAACAGATTTCATAGACAAATTATTTTTACCATAGTAGATGATGTAAAAAGAAAGCCAATCGTAACTAAGCCATTCGACACCCATACTCGTATAGCAATACAACTTTCTAAATCAAACTTAGAACAAGACGTAATTAATGCTGTTAAAGAATACGTTAATCCAAAAGTTAAAACTGGCATTCTTATACAACCCCCTCTGGGTATGTATGAAATCATCCCCATTATTCAGAATCAATTTAGAAGTTCCGCCATGTACCTCATGTTAAGTAAAGTAGAATTGGAAAATGTTAAAGATTATCTTCGCCAACAGGAAATAATCCACAATTACCATGACGGTAAGACCAACCATCGTGGTATTACGGAATGCTATCTTGCCCTTTCACGCAGATTTTACTGGCCAAAAATGAAGGAACACGTAACAAAATTTATAAACGACTGTACCACTTGTGGGCAGGCGAAGTACGATAGAAACCCTATCAAGCCAAAATTTAACATTGTACCCCCAGCCATGAAACCTTTTGAGACAGTCCACATGGACTTATTCACAGTACAAAACGAGAAATATGTCACTTTCATGGATGTCTTTACGAAATATGGTCAAGCATACCACCTACGCGATGGAACTGCCGTTAGTGTCATCCAAGCTTTATTGCAGTATTGCACCCATCACGGAGTCCCTATTACTATAATAACCGATAATGGTACCGAATTTACCAACCAGCTCTTTGTCGAATTTACGAAATTTCATAAGATAAACCACCATAGAATTCTGGCACATTCCCCTAATGATAATGGCATCATAGAACGCTTTCACTCCACGCTACTAGAACACCTCCGTATCCTTAAATTAAAGCAAAAAGATGAACCAATCGTTAATCTCATACCCTATGCCCTAATAGCATATAATAGTTCTATCCATAGCTTTACAAAATGCCGACCCTTTGACCTAATGACAGGACATTTCGACCCACGAAACCCGATCGATACTGACATCACAGAACGACTACTGCAACAATACGTTCAAAACCATAGCGAACTAATGAAAAAGGTCTATGATATTATAAATGAGACATCTCTTGCTAACCGTACCACTATAATAGAGAACAGGAATAAAGATCGGGAACCCGAAGTTGAATACTCCCCGCAACAACAGGTATTCATTAAAAATCCTCTAGCCAGCCGACAGAAAATCGCTCCGCGTTACACGCAGGATGTTGTCCTTGCGGACCTTCCCATACATATATATACCTCAAAGAAACGTGGGCCAGTAGCTAAATCGCGACTGAAACGCGTTCCTAAAGGTACTCAATTGTTACAGGACTCTTTTATCACTGATGATCCCCCTGACGCACGCCCTGGAGATAAAACTTGAGAGCTTAGCCGACGGACCTGGATTACTGCCATACAAACTTGGACCAATGCGACTCATTACCCATCACCACACCTACCTACAGTACATTAAACTTGACTATATTGAAGACAAAATTGACTCTTTGAAAAGACAATTACATACGTACGAGATACGACTAAATAATGACACCTTCCTTTTATTCGAAAACCAGATTGACTATCTCCTAGGTAATTTAGATAAAACATCAAATCAATTAAAATCGTTAGAGCCCGTTAGAGCTAAAAGAGGTCTTGTAGATGGTCTTGGCTCGGTAATCAAAAGTATAACCGGGAACCTCGATCAATCAGATGCCGTTCATTATAACAATCTTATTAAAGAATTACAGATTAATCAAAATAAGGTAGTGTCTGAATTAAATAGTCATGTGAGTCTTAATAAAGATTGGATAAGTCACCATAGTAAAGTTTTGGACACATTGGTTGAAAATCAGAGTAAAATTAATACAACGTTAGAAATACTACTAGATGTAAATGCCGATAAAGAAAAGAGTTTAATTCAAATCGCAAAATTTTCCCAGATTTTGGCAATTTTGAGTGAAAATGTAGAAGACTTAAAATACGAACTAATTAGAATAGAAAACTGTTTATCTTTTATACGTGCTGCGAGCACGCACCATTCTATGTTAGATATTAATGTCCTTAGGAATATGATAGATAAGTTAAAATTAATATATGGAAGAGATAGAATTTTAGGACTAGAACTTAGAGAATATTATGATATAATACGACCAGGTTTTTACTATGTAGACAAACAAATAATTATAACTTTTCAATTTCCCATAGTTTCAGTAGACGTATACGACCTTTTTAGATTATCTGTAGTACCTAATAAAGATAGGCAAGCCCTTATCCCTTCTTACCCTTTCATAGCAACTCATGAGAACGTATTCGTGTACATGGAGGCAGAATGCCCGAAGTTCAGTCACAGTTACCTCTGCAATAAAGGAACCAACCTTCAACTCCGGGCTACCCCAGACTGCGTACACCAACTAATAATAAACCAAGACTTACAGGAATCCTGCCAAGTAACAACAGTACTACTACAAAAGCCAGCAATGGAACAGCTCGATGATCAGCACTACGTCGTCTCGTTCCCTCAGCCGACGCGAGTTCAATTAACATGCGAAAGAGAAGATTACAATTTACTGCAAGGGAGTTACCTAGTGACTATTCCCCTCAATTGCTATCTACGGACCGCAGAGTTCACCATTACGAATGACAAGGACGAAATAAAAGGTCATCCTCTGAAGCTCACTAAAATCCCATATGACGTAATGAAACAAGTTGCAACCCCAAGCCACGTACACCTGAAATCTATTGATTTGAAAGGACTACACAACGTCCAGAACAAACTTTTAGTCGAGCCTCCCTTAACACTCGATACAAATGAAACCAATGTCCTATATCACACAACGATACCCCTATACGTGACAATAATAGGTGCATGCGCACTCGTTGTAGCCATTAGAAGCCGAAGACGCAACTTATGGAACTGCAAACTTCGAAACGCCCAAGAAGCCAAACCAACATTCAATCAGACTCTCGAAGACCCTGAAAAAGCTGAAAATCATATAGATGGGCTACCAGCAATATTTTCACTAAACGTTAGAAAATAATTGCTCATCTGAGGGTGGAGGAGTTAGATATCGCAGTACAAAGGAAGCCGCCGACTCCACAGTTCTACAGAACGAAGGCACAGCAAATGCACCGATCACGAGGCGCTGGATCAGCACACGTGTCGCGTTTTACCAGAACAACGTAATTTCTCAGTCAACTCACTTTTGGTTCAACCTTCGTACAATTGTCACCTATCCTTAGAAATTAATATTGTAATTTTATTTCTTTAAAATTAAATTAGTTATAAAAAGTTTTGGTTTTTTTTCGAACCTTCGGCTGCAGTTATCTTAATTAGCTGTTGGCTTTTCACGAAAAAATAAATAAATAAATAAATATTTTTTTATATCGGTGTCATTGCCGGTGTAGAAATAAGTATAAACCTAAATTCCGACTGTGCTCTGCCACAGATTACTTAATAGTAACTACGTAACAGATACATCACTCTCATACAAAATTGAAAATAATAATAGCCTACCAGTGGCGAGACTTGAAAGTTTCCCTTGATAAAGCCGAAGCTTTAAGAGGGAGCAGAGGAAAAATTCCTAATCTTCGATTTGATTTTAGAGGGGTATATCCACTTTAAAGTTAAAAATAAAATATTGTATGACTAACTACACGATATATTCAAGCATAGACGTTAATCAGAAACATAAAACAATAAAGTTTCCTCGATAGATAATAATCACGAAATGTCCTCTAATTTTCACATTTTTTCGATTCATTCTCGAAATGCTACAGGTTATTAGGACAAAAATTAGATAATTAATTATATTTATGCATGGTCGAGAACTGTCACTACGGATTTTTTTTAATCCCTTTAGTTTTAGAGTTATACCGCAGGCATATATTTGTGTCACAAATTTGGGCGGAGCCAACGTCAAAACTTTTTTGGCATGAGAGCTCTAAACTTGTTGAAGAAACAAAAACACGTACTTTAACGGAAATTTATTTAATAATAAAAGAGGCCTTGGCGACACACAAATACAAAACTTATTAGCACAATAGATACTAGTTCAGTTCATTTCATAGGTTAACTTATTCTACAAATAAAATAACTATAGTTTTTAAAGTAATTTACTACATTTTATGCTGCCCGTCGAATACGAAAGTTTGTTATTAAAGAAACCGTCTACATGCATTCTTTACGTAGCCTTATTAAAAAGAAACACCCAAATAGATATAGATACATGTGTAACACTATGTATCGTAAAGATTTACAAAATACAAATTAACCATACATTTCTTATTAATTTGCTATTATAACAATTTTGTTACATTATTTGAAGAAAGTTTTACATCTGGCAACGATTCTGACATTACAACAAATTAAAAAGTAATTTGTCGGAATAAGGTTTAAATTTACATGAACGCTATTCGACTAGAAGTCGATTAATTCCGGCTTCTCGGCCGCCATTTCTTTAGATGTTATAAAGCGGATTTTAGCGAATGTGTACGTGAATTTGATGGGAGCGCGTAGATTTCATGAATGGAATAGAACCCGCAGATCCACCGGCTTACCTCGCGCTGATTGGTTGAGATGCACCGGAACAAGTTATTACGCGTTTAATAGTGAATAAGCGAGAGGAACTGAATGCTGAGGTTGAACAAGGATTGTAATGTAAATGAAAGACTTGTCTAAGGGCTTGCAATGTCGTCGATACACTCAGCGGTAGGCTCATATCGCGTAACCTCAATTGTTTTTGTAACTACAAATAAACTTATCAGTATGTTTAAATTGTTACAGATTTTCGAAACATAGTGTTCACTATCATAAGCCAGCCTGATCCGTACCACAGCAGCGTCTCCAAGAAACTTAAGGAGGATATTGAGAATCAAGTTATGGAGATTGAAAATGTAAGTATTTTGCGACAAGCAGTCTAAATAACAAAGTGTAGCAGACGATATTAGTTCCTTCAACCCGTGCATCAGCATCCGCTGATAATCTGCATGAATTTAAATATCCGCATCCGCATTCATCGATGCTGTTATTCGATGAGGATGTTGACGGACATGACGTCATGCAGCTTTCAGCGTGTTACCCGCGGTCTGCCGCAGCATTTTCGGGTCTGCAATCTACATAGTTTCTCAATATAATACCTTAACGATACAATCAATCTACAGCGCCGTCCATTATGCTATGAAAGTGCAATGATAATTTCACAGTACTCGCCCGTGTTACCCGCGGTCTGCTGCAGCATTTTCGGGTCTGCAATCTGTATAGTTTCTCACTATAATACCTTAACGATACAATAAATCTACAGCACCGTCCAGTAATCCACACAACACAAGACTTCTCCATCCCCGGGGATTGGACGATCTTCCCCCTACTACGTCCGCTCGTGTCCAGGTATAAAGGTAGCGACGTGCGATGGATCGTGTTCATTGAACCGCACACCGCCGTGCGATGCGGTAGATTATTGGAATCTATTGCTAATGCTGACAGACAGCAGGTAAGTTTGGCTGTGTATCAGGCCCCGTACTCTCGTTCTCGTACTGTCAATTAAGTAATACACGACCTAATAAAAAGACGTATGATGCTAATGAATCTTCATACTTAACATTGTTTTTCATTTTGTCGAGTTTATTTGACAGTAATTGTTTTGGTCGTAAAACGAGAGTGGATCCCCAGGTACGAAAAACAGACAACCACAAATGATCTTTAGTAGAACTACCTACTGGTGAAGGGTGCGTCCAGCGAAATAGATCCTGCCATCTGCTTGCGTGGCGACGGGCGTGTGTTGTGAATGCTTGAGATTCTGTGCAATGACGGATGCTAGGGGATCGACAGTATTATTATAATGTTTTTTTAACCGACTTCAAAAAAGGTGGAGGTTCTGTTTTTCTGTTTTTGTTCTTTTTGGCTGTAACTCCGGTATTTGTGAACCGATTTTCATGATTCTTCTTTTGTTGGAAAGAGGGTACCTCCATAGTGGTCCCGTTTGAACAAAATCATCCACCTCTAAGAGTTCACACGTGAAGATTCATTTTTATAAATAGCGCCTAAATTTTATTATAAGGTGTAATAATTGTAATGGTTGATTTTGCTATTCTTCAATTCAAGGCGTTTTTCTCTTTCAATATAGTTTGAGTAGTGAGAACCGATTTTTATTATCTCCTGTATCAAGTCCCGTTTAGCGGCGAACTACGGGTTTGACCACTTTCCGGTAACCGATTTTAATAAAACTTGGTAATTGTATGTAATTCCACGTACTTTTGAGGTCGGTTTTTTTAGTACGCTGTACTGAGATTATCTTTATTATTGTTAGTTCTCGATTAGTTTAGTTTCACGGTGCATTAGGTTCTTAACTGTAATACCGTGTAAATATATTTACAATAAATAAATTAATAACTATTGCTACCGCCAAGCAGTAACGTAAGCATTACTGAGTTCCGGTTTTGAAGGGCAAGGATGCTGGTAAAACTACAGGCAATTCTCGACTTTATGTTTCAGGATGACGGATGCGGTTTCAGTGACCCAATGTTCTTAGCTATTTAAAGATCTAAGTGGCACTGCAACTGTTATAGGTAGGCGTGGCGCTTACCACCAAGCGTACTAGTGTTGAGTTACTCATACACGAGGCAACTCGCTTGTACCACTCGCTTGGTTAGTTTGTCACAATTCCTCATGTCATAAAAATGTCCCACCTCATATTTCACCTCATGTCACAACCTCACTAATGTCCCACTGCTTCGAACTCAACAAATGCAACAATGATTGGTCCTGCACTGCCCGCTTTTTAGCTGATTTTACATCTTATGATCATACTATCATAGTACTAAATAAAATTAGCACTTATTTGTACTACATCATAACACATAAGTTATCCAATTGATTGATGCCATCAAGTTATGAAAATGTGCTTAATATTCTCTGTCTGTGGATTGAATGCCATAGGTGCAAACATTCTTACCACTACCTCACCTCACTCGAAATAGGACATTGTACCGCCTCGTTTTTTTTATGTACTCTCTCAAACTCATTTTCATTTCATGTCCTATCCAACACTAATGCGTACGAGTTGTTTGTCCCGCCACTTCAATATAAAAAAAGAATAATGTCTTTATGGCAATACGCAAAATAATGTCGCGAAGTCGACAACGCAAAGCTTTAGAGTAGCTTTTGCCATGAACTCACATTTTAATTTCTAATCATATCCTTTCAGTTATTCTGAAAGCCTCTCGTTCAAGATTATCCATCTAAGATAGCTTTACCTTATGATGAATGGTGCTGAACATAAATATATAAAAAAAAAATTAGCCAACAGTTCAATCCCTGTGACAGCATGTACCTATGACTTAATTTGAGCTTCTTAGAGGAATCTCGTATAATGAGACACAAATATTTTTTATGACACCAATTGACGGGATGACTGAAGTGGTAAGTGGCACGCCTGTCCATGACAGTCCCAGTGCCACTCAGAGCTTTAAATCACAAAGATCTGAGGGCATTGCTATAGCGCCCGTCACCCTAAAACGTATTAAGAGGGAGGATGCCAAAAAAGTCTTGACGTTGGCTCCGCCCACATTTGTGAGACAAATATATGCCTGAAGTTTGCGTGACATGCGACAGGAGATGTTGAATTTTGCGCATTAAAAGTACGAAATTCGTTTTAGCGGAATAACTCTAAAACTAAAGCGATTAAAAGAAAATCCGTAGTGACAGTTCTCGATCATGCATAAATATAATTAATTATCTAATTTTTGTCCTAATAACCTGTAGCATTTCAAGGATGAATCGAAAAAATGTGAAAATTAGAGGTCATTTCGTGATTTTTATCTATCGAGGAAACTTTATTGTTTTATGTTTCGGATTAGTGTCTATGCTTGAATATATCGTGTACTTACTCATATAATATTTTATTTTGAACTTTAAAGTGGATATACCCCTCTAAAATCAAATCGAAGATTGGGAATTTTTCCTCCGCTCCCTCTTAAGTTAACATGTCCTGTGTGCCTTTAATTTCATCAACACCTTCAAAACCGGAACGCAGTAATGCTCACTTTACTGCTTGGCGGCAGAAATAGGGTAAGGTGGCAGTACTACCCTGGACGAACTCTTACACTAGGAGCTAGTGCTGCTAAATAAAATATGTACTTACTTCAAAGAGTTTTGTAAAAATGTGTCGCTTTATAACGCAGGATACAATGTGGATTGGTTATCCACTAACTGATGAGGAGCCAAGAGTAATTCATCACTTTCATTTCTACGAAAACTTGGAAGAGGATGGTGGCTTCGTATACCCCAATTTTGCCAGTGGTTTCGCTATGAGAATAGAACTTATGGACATGTATGTAAACGAGATAAATTAATTCTTCCCTTTGTTTGTTAATTTTCGTAACTATAGTCCATTTTTTTAGGATCTTAACTAAATGTAAACACTCTTGATACATCTTTTTATTGAAACATATGCTTTACAAATCAATAGGTACAAAAATAGGGTTGCAATTTCATATGAAGCTAAGTATTTGTATTTTGTATTTGAAGGTAAGTAAAAATAATTTTATAAACGTATATTTCATTAATTAGACATGTCAAGATTGTTTACATTTAGTTAAGTACCTAAACAAATGGATTATAGGTTTATTTATTAAACTGTACCTTTTTTCTTTTATAAAATGTAAGTGTGCATTTGACCTCCATCTCACCTGGTGTAAAGAGAGGATGAGGTCGACGATGCAGCATGCACACCTAAATAATGCCTATTCACTCTCGCCTTGAAAATACCCAAGTTATAACGTTCAAGGAACAAGTCTGCAGGCAGGGAATTCCACTCCATAGCCGTTCGCCAAATAAATGTGGAAGCGTAACGCTTCGTGCGAATCTTTGGAATATCCACAACATAGGGGTGGAACCCAAGCCTACGCCTAGTCCCTGGTGATGGAAAGGGGAAGGCGGAATTAAATCGTGTAATTCCATCGCACACTCTCCGTGATATATCCTGTAAAAAACCAGGCAATAAATAAGCAGGCAACTTTACGGCGGTGTTCAAGGCTCTGCAGCTTCGCCTCCACTAATACTCTTGGCATGGTTGTCAATTGAATCCAAAGCGGCCAGTTGATATGTAGCAGAGCCATCCCAGAGGTGGCAGCAGTACTCCATGCACGATGACTATTGCTGGAATTCCATCTGGCCCGCTAGCCTTATTCACGTCTAGATTTAGCAGAATTCTAAGTACCTCTTTTTGGCGAATACGAACTGGCACCATAGTGCAGCCAGCCTGAGGTAAAGTAGGTGGTAGGTTTCCTGCGGCATCCAGACGCGAACTCTCTGCAAAGAGTGAGGCAAAGAGATTAGCCTTCACTTCCGCCGGGCCGGCCAATTAAGGCAAGCCCCCTGGTCCCCGTCGGTCGGTTGACTCTGCCTGTCCCGACAGCCGTGACATCACAGCCGCCGGAACCCGCCGCGCACACGCTCTGATGAGCCCCTTTGCAGCGCCGCACTCTGACGGCGCACGTCCACATCCCAGTCTGCTCTGCTGATCAGAGTGGTACCAGGAGTGGACCCTCCGCAGTGTGCCGCTCTGGCCCATCCCCCATAAGCCTGTCCGGTGTGCGTAGCGCTATCCTAACCGGCCCCCTAACCCATATTCGTAATGACACTTTTATTCGGTGCTTTCGGTTTTAATTGTTAGTTTCAATTGTTTCTTAGAAAAACTAAGAAAAATTATTGCAATTAATTTAATTGCAATTAAAATCAATTCAATTGAAATCAATTGCAATTGATTTCAATTGAATTGATTTTTTAATCTGACCTGATCTGAATTTCTGAATGAAATTTAATTGATTAACGCCCAACACAAGTATACGGTATTAGCAGTGTTTTTGAGTAGAGATGGGAAAAACGGCTTTTTTTTAAAAAAGCGTGCATTTTTCAACGCTTTTCACTTAAACGCTTTTTAGTTTGAAGCTTACAAAATCTTTTAGAAAAACGTTTAACCGCATAGACTTTTATGTTAAAAAAGCTTACAACGATGTGTTGATAGCGAAAAGCAAGGGTAGACCACTAAAGGTTTTAACATAAGTAAGTTTATTTGTAATACACGAATTTTATTTTTATTTGTAAAATTATTATTCACATTGACGAATTAATTTGTTAACACTTACGCTTAAATTGAAAAGCGTGCTTATGTGCTTATTTTAAAAAGCAAACTTTTTAAAGTGCTTTTCGTTTAAAGCCCACCTCTCTTGCGTTATTGGCCCATGGTTTAAATTAATGTGTACTAATTAATATTATACCTTGTGAAGTGATTGTAAATGTTTGTTTCTGTTTGTATTTGTGCTGATTAAATGTTTAATCTATCTATCTAATTTTTAGGTTACTAAAACAAGTAGAAAGAGGAGAAAGGAAGCGGAATTCAGACGCTTTTTCAATAGACCCTTCTTACGAACTAGCGCAACTTATTTACGGGGATGGTGATCACCCTGGACCACTACTCTCCGCTGACTTGAGCTTCTGTATTGTATCTGGAGACCAATGTGCTACTTATCCTAGACAGTTTTATTCGTGCGTGAGTACTTCTATATATGCTTTTTTATTTTTCGCAAGGTACCTATTATCGATATCTCATATCCAAACACGACGCCAACTTCATTTTTTGGTCATTTTCTGTTATTTTTGTATTAAAGCCATATATATTTACTAATATTATGTTCCTCGAATTTTGTGAAAAAAGAAATTAAGAAACAAAAAACAATATTCGAAAAAAAAACAAAAAACTAATTTTGTGCAAAAAATAAAGAAACGAACAACAATGGCGAATCTGAGTTCTATTTACTGGCTACAACATTTTGAATTCCTCTGAATAATACAACCGCACGGTCGCCACGCCGAAGACCAAATTCAGGCCAGCCTCGCCCTCGTGCGCGTGTCTGAGACGTTCATTTAGTTAAAACGTAAATGCTAAAGAAATAGAGCGTATTTTGCCATGACAGTTAGACACGCGCGGTCGCTGCGACGGCAACGTGGACTCAGCACGACGCGCGGGTTAATAGGTAATAGCAACAAAGCAAATATTTAATAGTCAACACAATTAGAGTAAATGTCATGTGTGTGTAAAAGAATCCATTCAGTAAATGTCACCGCCGAGAAAAGGCTGTGACGCTGATTTTAATATTTCTGTAATGTAGTATGTAGTGTGTTCTCTTATATACTTAAATATATAATACTTAAATAATTAATTTGATACATACATTACAGTGGTAAGTATGTGTAATGTAATGTCAAACATTTACAACAAACAAAATAGAACTTAAATTTTTATTGAATTGTTGTTTAATTAATTTAATTATTAATACAAAGATCGAACACTCAGAAATAATTCCTTCGATCCGGCCGGATTCGAACCGACGTCTTCTAGCATACCGTGGCAGACGCTATACCAACTAAGCCACGGAACGAACCAGCGGACCTCACGAATTTCCGTATGTGCTTGCGTCGTATCTTTGTATTTGGTTTTTTAACGACTTTTTAGCCGTAGCGCTATCCCTGAGAAATCTATGATATTTCATCACCTAGTTAGATACCTTTACAGCTTAGTTGGTGTAGCGTCTGGCACGGTATGCTAGAAGACGTCAGTTCGAATCCGTTTTAGAAATTTTGTATTACAGTCTTTGAATGTTTATACCTTTTATATAAAATGCAACGGGGGGTTTAGTATACATTCCTCTTGCTGGTCTGATGCAGCGAGTGTATCTAAAGAATCTAAGTGAAAGACTTAATCAGCAATGCTGAGTCTTATCCTTTTTGTCTACATTACTGTTTTTTTGTTTTAAGTGTCGATACAACCTCAAATGGCTTTTGTTGATTCCGCACATTTAAAGTGCTTGAATAAATAACTTTGGAAAAATGTACAATAAAATGGAGAATATACGCAGATTATTTATACGGTGTGAAATCACGATTTCTAAAAATTTTCACAAAAAAAAAACACAAACTTACCTCGAAATTTTACAAGAAAACGGCTCTTTTGAATAGGTACTTTACGTATACCAATTTTATTTTAATACCAACCGAAGTAAATAGAAGACGTATGTTATACGAAATGCATTTTTCAAAAGGCTTCATTTTCGTTTGTAAAAAAATAAATCCAGAAATAAAGCCAGTGTCCAGTGTCAATAAAGAAGTAAAGTCCCTACCGCTCGACTCAAGCAAATTGAACCGTATTAATACGGGAAAAAATAATTAAAAAAAAGGTGTTTTTTATAGCAAATTTACATCTACATCTATTTGTTTATTTTTATAAGACATCGAACAGCATACATTGTAGAACTTAACTAATTTACATGACCAATAATTGTTACCAATTATAGGATATCACAGAAAAAATGGCATAACGTGACATAGTTAGTTTAGACTTCATTAAATGCTAATGTAATTTCAAAAAGTAATAATAAAAATTAAAAATTTTAAAAGGAAAAGAAAAAGCCAATTCCTAATAATAATATTTGTAAAATTGCAGCAAAATACATTCCAAATTGAAAATTTGACCTCAAAAGTACGTGGAATTACGTCTATTTGCTAAGTTTTATTGAAATATCCCCTAGTTCGCCACTATACAGGACTTGACACTGGAGATAATAAGAAATCGGTTCTCACTACTCAAAAACGCCTTGAATTGGAGAAATAGCAAAATCAACCATTAAAGTAATTGCTCCTAAATTAATGTTAGGCGGTATTTATGAAAATGAATCTTCATGCGTGAACAGCCACCCTTCGAGGTGGATGATTTTCTTCAAAATGAAATGGGACCACTATGGAAGTACCCCCTTTCCAACAAAAAAAGAATCATGAAAATCGGTTCACAAATACCGGAGTTATCGCGTAACATACATACAAAAAAAAAAGAACATACAGTCGAATTGAGAACCTCCTCATTTTTTGAAGTCGGTTAAAAATGATGATAAATAACAAATACTACAAAGTTACATAAATTTTTGTTAATATACAGTATAACAATTATTACAAAAAATGAGATACAGCTAAAAATCACTCTTTTAATATGGCGCTTAAACGATTACTTAATATTCGCTAAAATGTCAATTGTAATTGTACGTTGCTGTAAGACGTGAGACGATCTCGTTCTGGCCATAGTTCGTACGACTTGGTGGAACCAAACCCCGGACACTCCATACAACGGCAGAAGATGATTTGCTTACTACTACTACATACAGCAAGGCGCCATCTGCACACGCGCAAATGTGTGCGTGAAGTGTCAGGGTTACCCATCACTTGCTTGTACTATTAACATAACGAAAATTCTAACACGAATCTGTTATATATTATTTATATCGATATAATATTTTTCATTAATTCACTAACTGGAATAATATTGAAGATTTGTTTAAAAAATATATTAAAAGCACTTAAAATGTTATATTTTGGACAGGTACCTTTAAATAAGGTAACCAAGGTCTTTGAAATTGCGTGTCCAAGTTTAAAACAAAGCTCACAAAGTTATGGCGTCTTATTATAATGATATAATAAATCTGTATTATATATTACTTTGCACTAAAGAAAACAAAATTGAATGAGTCTCAGTCATAGGTAAGTTTTTTTACTTACTTCGTTTCATCTTTCAGAAAACGATAGACACTCACTTTATCCCGTTTAGATGATTATAAACAGCCGCACACAGAACAATTTACGACAATTGTAAATAGTAACGTAAAATGATGATATAAATTGACGTACAAATTTCGTAATGAATAAATGAAACTATATTCAAATATGAAAGGCGTCTTAAAGTGAAAACGCCTCGTCGACAACCTTGTTCTCGTTCAGTCAATGTGCCCATCAATGTGCGGGACGTGGTACGATAATCTATAAAGCTAGGGAGGGGCGAAGAGTGTCAGTTATCGTTACTTATTTGTTCTCTGGTGGAACGTAAAAAACTTTATGAAGTTGGTAACGAGGTTGAATATGGGACACAACAAGACGAAACAATGATACAAGGGCTGTCAAGGCGAGCGTTAACAATGTCGTGGAGAAAGGCCATGTGAAGAAGCTGTCTTCTATCAGAAAGGCTATATATACTAAAGTATTTGCAGGCTTCCTCGTATGTGGTGCAATTATATTTCTTTTTTTTCTAAGATATCAATGGGAACCAAACTTCATACCTGCCTTCTTTTAATCGTCTTGATAATTATAAAGCAGTCATTTTCGGCAGGGCAGTGCAATACCTGAAGAGTCGATTTTCTTCGCGGTGAAAACCTGGACCGGCTTCCACGCATCTAGGACTGCAGTGGTCAAGAAGACGTGGGGAAAACGTGTTTCACATTTGCTGTTCTACAGCGACAAAGCTGGTAAGAGTTTGTAACGGTTATATACTTCAAAAGTGTCTAGGGATCAAGCACGTTTTTGTCAATAACTGAAATCAGGTTTTTGTTTTTTTTAACACCATTGATATTATAAATTATTAACAAAAACGTGCTTGTTGTCGGAGCCGTAGTGTTATCTATGAAAAATCTATGAAAGTATTTCGTCACCCAGTTAGGTAACTTTATAACTGCCAGCCCTGGCTAGAGATCTCGCTATTAACTGTAATTAAGTTTGTTACATTTATGCTTTCAACTAGTGGAGTAATTACACAAAAAATAATTGAATATCAATTCAATGGTTACCTATCAATAGTCCGAAAGGACATTTTCCAGAAATAACGTTTGGTCGAAATTTCATAACCTCGAAAGTAATTTTAAGAGGAATTTATTTTTAAGCCTAACTTAACCTAATCGTGTCTTTGCGATAAACATCAACATATCCTGAAAGAACAACTGTTTCGTTATAATTCGGTTTTCGGTGTAATGAAAATTCGAACAAACGTTATTTCGGACAAAAAATTTTCGACTTTGTGATAGGTTACCCAATTCAATACAAATTTAATTTTAAAAACTAAATTTTATAATTTAAAATTAAAAATTAAATTGACGAAGAAATCCATTGCTGTTAAAGAAAAATCGTTAAAAACCTGATTTTCAGTAATTAGCAAAAACGTGTTTGATCCCTAGACACTTGATGAGTGTATTTTGCACGAATAACTTTATGATCACTTCCATTCCATTCGCACTTGTAAGGCGCTAAAATCGTATACAGAGCGCGACACTCCGCTTTAGTCTTCATTTGTTCTACTGACAGCGCGATACTGCGATGACATAACAATTTAAATTTCGAATAGGTTGACTTGGGACATTTTTTTCGTGGTTTTTGTATTAGACCCGTCGTCCATTTATTTGTAAGTCAATGATTAGAATAGTAATTTTTATTTTGTTTTTTTTTTTTTAAATTTATTGACTGCGTTCTTTGTATTCTCCTGTAATCTCTTTTTGGCTTGCTAAGCACTGTATATTGTTTCATGTAGGTGGAAATTCGTAAATGGCATTGGATTACTCATATTTAAGTTTACTATAATTGTATTTTTTGTCCGTGAATTTTCCTAAAATGTATAAATAAATAAATAAATAAATAAATTTTTATCAACGGAATGGCTTAACGGAAATTGGAATAAGCATAAAAAATTTATGCGTTTCTGCATTGACTTACAATTATTATGGACGTCGGGTCCGCGCTAAAAAGTGTCCGAGCTTATAGGGCGTTAAAGTCGTATACAGAGCGTCATTCACGCTTTAGTCTTCGTTTGTTCGACTGACAGCGAAGCAAGCAAAATTAGACAGTACTACGATGATATTACAATATAAATTCAACGTTTTAGCTTTTTCATATTCCTTTACATGTCACTACGTTTAAATAGGTTGACTTGGGACATTTTTTCGTGGTTTTTGTATTAGACCCGTCGTCCATTTATTTGTAAGTCAATGCGTTTCTGTTATGATATTGTCAGTCTTTGACAAAATTGGCGCAATATTATATTCTCTTTCAGATCCATTACTACCTTCTATAAACGTCGGTGTGCCAAATACAAAATCGGGTCATTGTGCCAAAACCATGGCCATTTTGAAAGATGCTGTTAGAAGAGCACGAAACTTGCCTGGTGTTAACTGGATATTCTTGGCTGATGACGATACTACACTGGGGTAAGTTGATATCATCTTCTTCATTTTGATCTTCATTTATTTTAGGATTAGGTATATTGTCCACCTTACTTATTACTGCCGCCAAGCAATAATGTGAGGCATTCCTGCGTTCCAGTTTTGAAGGGTGCTGGTGAAATTACTGGCACATGGGACTTGTCAACTTATGTCTCTGGGTGACGGGCGCAGTGGCAGTGCAGCAGCTATGGCAGACACTATGGCAGATCAGTCCGTCTGCACGGGCTTTATTGAGTTCTCTGTAAGGCTAGTGCCTTAGGAGCCGCCCCAGGTGTACGTACAGATAGGTAGCAAGAGCTGTAGGCACGGTCGCTTCCCGTCGCGCTCTGCAGACTAACGCTGAGCCGTCGACTCTAAGCCGACTACCAAATCTCCTCTTTAGTGGCGGAGCTGTAAGGCACGCTCACTTCCCGACGCCGAATGAACGGCGTCTCTCCAGTTCCCAAACTCCGAACCGAACTGGAGGAATCGGAGTATCTCTAGCTCATTATCTACTAACTCATCTAACTGTTATGGACAGGCGTGTCGCTTACCATCAGGCCCACGACTTGTTTGTCCCGTCACTTGGTAGGTATCATAAAAAAAGAGACTTTAAATAGTATGATGCCAACTTGACTAGCCGTGGCCACGCAGAAATCTTCCCTTGTAGTGTATTTAGGCATGCGAGCAAATGCTGCATGGCATAGTATAAGTATTCTAAATCTCCCTGTTTCAATGTGTTTATGCCTACCTACACGTACCTCGGAGAGTAGGGTTGTAACACTCTTCACTCAGCAAAGGGGGCCGCCGTGTATTAGTCAAAATTAAAAAAAAAAACGCGCGCAAAAGCGTTTTTTCCACACTAGCGTGGAAAAGATTTTTGAAATACGACCTTAACGATGGACTATGGTGCACCCATAGATTTAGTATAAATCTATGGGTGCACCTAACTTTTTCTTTCGAAGGAAAAAAAAACATAATGACAAGTTCAGCTACGCGATTTGTCGTTTATTATTTAAGTAATATAAATCCGTTGGTATATTATATTCTTATTATTATACATTAAATTGACAACGATAACTAATTTTGCAATTATTCGTTGATGTGACGTATAGAGAATTACAATTTCCATGCGTCACAAAGTCCTGTTTAAATAAATTGTTAGAGATTTTTTAAAGACTTCAATGTTATCAACATTAGTAAGCCCCTTTTTAATATGCAGCTCCTAAGCCCGGTATTAAATGCGTATCGGCCGAGGTGCCACTTCGATCTCGAGATCGAGAGAGATGCTTCTCATCTCGAAAGCTCATAATGTAAGCGATGTTACCGCAACCGACATAGTATATCACAATTTCGTCGTTTGCCATAAACGAAGTGGCAAAAAACGTGTTGCACATTTTAAGGGATAATATTATTGGATCCTCAAATAAATAATTGATCTATTGTACATGTGCACTTTTTTAAATAAACGATATTTTTTTTATGTTTGATATAGGTATATATTAATTGTTCCATCTATATTAGTTGATAAATTATAAATGAACTGCATTCAAGGTAACGCTGTTGTCATGTTTAAGCATACTAAAGTATAGTCCATTTTGTTTAGGTACTCAACTAAATGTAAACAACCTTATTGAGATGTCTGTTTAATGAAGTATACATTTATAAAATGATTTTTATTTACCTTCAAATACAAAATATAAATACTTAGCTTCATAAGAAAGTGCATGCCTATCTTTATACCTTTTGATTTGTAAAGTACATGTTTCAATAAAAAGATGTATCAAGATTGTTTACATTTGGACTAAACAAATGGACTATAATATCGATACCTGTAGTATCATTTAATGTAAAGGACAAATCACGGTTTTTCATGAGAACCAAAAAACGATTTTATTTTTTTTAATCTGTCTATAATTTTTTACTGTCTGCTCCAATTTTGATTGTTTCTAGAGCAAAGTTTCTTAGAGTTTCCTCTTCTTTCATATTGTAAAGTAAGATTTAGGAATGACCAGTGGTTTAAAATATAGCAAGTGCTACATACATAGTTAAAAATTCGCGTATAAATTAAAATCACATTTATATGTAGTAATATTAAAAGAAAAATTTGTTTTTCGTCGCTTACATTAAGTCGGCGGTACCTAATAGCTCGAATATTTTCATAAGACCAATCCATATACTCCACACAGGGTACAAAGACTTTGTGAAGTCTTGAGTTGCTTCAGAGGTGGGAGTGACGTCACAGTCGTCGGGGAGAGATATGGGTACGGCGTTTGGAACAAAGAAACTGGCCTTAGAGGTAAGGCTTTTAGAGCTAAATTTGAATACGACAAGCAGTGTTTTTGTTCGTGGACTGGTTTTAACAAATCGATACCTCCAAAGAACACTTCGTCAACTTTATTAACCGACTTCAAAAAAGGAGGAGGTTCTCAATTCGACTGTATGGTTTTTTGTATGTATGTTACGTGATAACTCCGGTATTTGTGAACCGATTTTCATGATTTTTTTTTTGTTCGACAGGGGGTACTTCCATAGTGGTCCCATTTCATTTTGAAGAAAATCATCCACCTCTAAGGGTGGCTGTTCACGCATGAAGATTCATTTCTGTAAATAGCGCCTAACTTTAATTTAGAAGCAATTATTTTAATGGTTAATTTTGCTATTTCTCCAATTCAAGGCGTTTTTCTCTCAATATACTTTGAGGAGTGAGAACCGATTTGTATTATCTCCAGTGTCAAGTCCTATATAGTGGCGAACTAGGGGATATTTCAACAAAACTTAGCAAATAGACGGAATTCCACGTACTTTTGAGGTCGGTTTTTTTAGTACTCTGTACTGAGATTATTTTTTTGTCGTTTTCTGTTATTTTTGTTAACAGCTTTAACTATTTATTTACTAATATTATGGGTCCCAAATTTAGTGAAAAAAAAGAAACAGAAAACAATATAAAAACAGAACAGGCCCAAAAATCAAATTGGCGTTTGTTCATTGAAGGTATCGAAATTGTATTTCTGTATTGTCTTTATTTCATACTGATAACTATAGGTACTAACTATGTATACATATTATAAGGCGATAACTAATGGAAACACAAAACACACAAAATATCTTCCGATACATCATCGTCATCATCATGGTCATCCAACATCAACCCACTGCTGGATTTAGGCCACTTGTTGCGTCAACTTTTACTGTCTTGGGCCGTCCGCATTCAGCGCGATCCCGTTAATCCCGTAAATTAATAATTAACACCTACAGCTAAGAACTATAATAATGTAATCAGAATTAAAAAGACAATAAAAGGGTATAAAAAGTAAATAAAATAAAATTGAATAAAAGCCAAAATTCTAATTAAAATTACACGTACTACATAGTTTAGTCTAAAACGATTGCCTCCATAGCCGGGACCATAGCGGGCATGCTCTTATCACACCAATGCCGAATGTAGGGGCAGTCTAACCTGCCAGCTATCATAGCCAGGACGATATTGCGGCTGGCCCGCACTGCGAACCAGTGACGCACACCTTTTGCGCATCGTTGTGTAGAAGCAATCAGTGCATGCCGCCGCGAACATATCCCAGGCGCTGCAGGAGCGCCCTAAACGCATTATTGAATTGCACACTAAAGATTATCATGGTTTCATCAAATTGATGCAGTTTCAAATAGAATCAGAAAACTCGCGTGGATTTTCAAAACTTTAAGATATGTACTTTCATCGGATCTTGTTCAAAAAGTCTACATTGTATTGGCTCAGTCTGTAATAACGTATTGCATCCCCATATGGGGTGGCGCCGTAAAGACCCATTTTATTGAGGTGGAAAGAGCTCAACGTTCTCTGCTGAAGGTAATGCTTTTTAAAAAGTATAGTTTCCCTACTGTCCGTTTGTACGTTATTAGTGATGTACTCTCCGTAAGAAAATATTACATTCTTCACGCAGTTTTAAGGTTCCACAAACAGTTACCATTCATTGCAAATTCCCGAAACAATCGCAGAAATTTTACAGCGTCTCTCCGCACAAATAGTACCTTCGCTAGCAGGCAGTTCGAAAAACAGGCTACCCATGTATTTAATCGTCTCAACAAAAAAATAAATATATATGTATATGCCATAATACTCTTTAGCTTGAAACAGATGACAATCGGGCACAATATTGAAAGGAAATAGATTTAGTTAAATATCCTATTTACAAATAAAAATGAACGCTTATAAAATAACGAAAAAAATAAAAGTTTGAAGAGGTTTACCATAAATTAAAAGTCTAGAAAAAGATAAGCAAAATGTTTTGAACTTAGTTTTAAATTATTAATTCATTAATATACGCTATAAAGAATTTTTTTTTAAATAGTGGAATTTATCTTTGTATCAATAATTATACTTTTAACTGACTTCAAAGAAGGGGGAGGTTCTCAGTTCGACCTTTTTTATGCATGCTACGCATTTGTGAATTGATTTCGATCATTGACTTACAATTATATGGACGTCGGGTCCGCGCTAAAAAGTGTCCGAACTTATAGGACGTTAAAATCGTATACAGAGCGTCATTCACGCTTTAGTCTTCGTTTGTTCGACTGACAGCGAAGCAAACAAAATTAGACAGTACTGCGATGACATTACAATTTAAATTCAACGTTTTAGCTTTTTCATATTCCTTTACATGTCACTACGTTTAAATAGGTTGACTTGGGACATTTTTTTCGTGGTTTTTGTATTAGACCCGTCGTCCATTTATTTGTAAGTCAATGATTTCGATGATTCTTTTTTTTTGTTGGAAAAAGGGTACCTCAGTATAGGTTTCAGTGTGACAGGGTTAATATGAACTCGTACATTTCAAAAATTCCCGCTCTCGGAACGTTTCCGCGGCCGCCTCTGCGTGGCCAGAGCTTTATATAGGGTGGCCAACTAGGTGATAAATCTGATGATGATGATGAATAACTGATTTCAATAAACCTTGGCAAATAGATGTCAAATCAAAATCAAAATAATCTTTATGTCATAGGTCAGCATTATTACACTTGAAATCGTCACAATGGTTAAACTCTACCGCTCATTCGTAAGGCAGATTCCACTGAGAAGAATGAGCAAGAAACTAGGGGTTGCTCTTCGTAAATATCATTTGTACACATTCAACATTTACAATATTTCTTTTTTAAAACATCAGAGATCCAGACTACCTCCATGAGCTAAACGGGTTACTACCACGGATTTTTGTCATCCAAGTACGCAGAAGTTGTATAATAACCTTTAGTATAAAGTTTTTGTTTCACTATAGTTTTAAGCCTCGTGAAAGTCAAATTTTGTTTATCAACCGGAATCTTGTTATAGAAGAGTAAGCATTGCCCCTTAAATGAATTGTCACTTTGTGAAGACGACTATCACGAACAGCTAGTTTATTTTTATTCCTCGCATTAATGTTATGTCTGTCACTAGTTTTCATAAAGAAATTACTGTTCCTGTTAACATAAATTACATTTTCATAAATGTACTGTGACCTGGTGTAAGAATGTTAATCTCTCAATGTAACCGCGAACTGTTGAGGTCGGTTTTTGTAGTACTCTACTGAGATTATATCTAGGTAATGCTCTGGCGATTACCGAGATCGCTATGCGAAACCACCTGGGCGAATTCTCGAGATTGATAGAGTTTATCCATCAGGTTATGATCACGGCTACGACTACATAACCGGCGGAGGCGGTACAGCCTTCAGCGTGGCTGCAGCGGATGCGCTGTCAAAATGCCGCTGTACTAAGTCAAATGACCCTGATGACATGACCATCGGTGCTTGCGCGTTACATCGAAATATTACCTTGACGCATTCCTCGCTGTTTCACCAGGTAAGAACACACCGTAGTAACTTTTTCCTTTGTGGTCTTTCTTTGGCCCCTAACATTTTTAAGTTTAAACACAAATTAAATTTTGAATTTGTATTGAATTGATATTCAATTATTTTTATATGAAAGTACTCCATCGGTTCGTTATAATTATTAATATAAAAATCGAACATTCAGAAAAAATTCCTTCGATTCGGACGGATTCGATTACAATTTCTTTTCTCTCCGAAACTATCAACTTTTCAAGAAATTACACAAGAATAAAAGTTGTTAGGAATGTTATTATCTATCACGCAAAAAAAATTAGCTCGATACTCCACAAGTTATTCCTATGTCCAAGAATTATCAATTTGGGCCCACTGTGCGACGTCTTCTAGTGCCAGACGCTATACCAACTAAGCAACGGAACGAACCAGTGGACCTCACGAATTTTTCTATACACTTGTTGTCGTGTCTTTGTATGTGGTTTTTTCAACGACTTTTTAACCGTAGCGCCATCTATGAGAAATCGTAAGTCGTTATTCATTGTATTTAAATTTTTATTGGATATTCAATTATTTTTATGTGAAATTACTCCACACATAATACAAAGATTAAAGAAGTAAGCTTAGTTGGTATAGCGTCTGGCACGGTATTCTAGAAGACGTCGTATCGAAGGATTTTTCTGAGTGTTCGGATCTTTGTATTAATAATTATAACAAATAAATTTTTTATTGTTCTGTTTCATTAGCATTATTGATTTTGTTTGGCAATAAAATTTCGTCCCCCATCCAAAACCGACAGTTTTCTACGAAAATTAACAGTTTAAAATTATTTAATAAAAAATCTGCAAGATATTGGTGGTTTATTCGTATTCAAAATTATAATTAATTGTTGTCTTCTGAGAATGCCAAATCAAAACCGAAAACTCCTTTGAGTCCTTTCCTCCTCCTAACAAAGAAATTAAAATGTTAAAGATGTACAATTTTTTTTCGATAATGTGCTTATGAGTAATTTTATTTTGGGTATTTAGTTTAGACTCTCGCTTTTACCATGGCCTAGAAAGAAAGGCGGTAATCCTGGACAATGATATAGTTGGGTTGGATTAGGGACTCAAGTTCAAAAACATTCGAACGTTACGTACCGTATCAAGCCGGAAACGACAATCTATAGAAATACAACTTCCTCAAATTATTGAAACTTACTGGATTAATCCGTTTAGGGACAATCATTATTAATGAAATTAATTGCTGTTACTTCACAAAAATTGTCTCTTACAAGTCGATACAACTTATTCCGTATAACACTGAGTGTTGAATCAATCACTCTGGAGAAAAATACATAGTAAAATTGAAGCCATACATTAATTAGTGTACGGCGTGAATACAAAATTCCTAAAAATTTTCATGATTGAAAAAAAAAAACACGACATACCACGAAATTTTACAAGAAAACCGCTGTAATCAATAAATACTTTATCTATACCAATGCTTAGAATAATAACGCATAGAAACCTAGCCCGCACACGCTAAGTGAGGCAAATTGAAGCGCTCCGAATGGGCCTACACGAGCGGGCGGGCCGTCAGTGCTCAAGGTCAACTTGCACCGCGAACAGCTCAAGAATTTTAGCTAAAAATGACGAAATGTGCGGTAAATGAGTGTGAAAGTACGTCAGACAAACATAAAATAGATACTAACATCACATTCCACAAGGAAGTAACGCGTTTCAACTTGTATTTTTATATAAATATTCACTAAAATCGAAAATTAACCTACTACTACAACTAGCCTACATGAATTTGATTTTTGCCTAATTTTTGACAGTTCATTTGATATGAAACTATCATTCTATGCGTTATTATTCTAAGTACCAATGATTTTTTTTAATATCAACTGAACTAAATAGAGTACGTAGTGTAGTACAATATACTTTTTTCAAATGGCTTTAATTTATATTAGAAAAATAAATACTGTAATAAAACTAGTATCCCTGTCGCTCCCGAGAACCCATTCAGTACGGGATAAATTTTAATTCCAGCTGAGGTGGTTAGTACTTTTAACCATATAAAAAGTTTGAAATTATCAATTTTGCTTCTTAGCTGAAACATGTTGTTCCAGGCTCGACCCCAAGACTACCCTCGCGAAGCACTGGTAGATCGCCCAGTGTCTTTCCACCGTCATTCCTCGCCGGACCCCTTTAGGGTGTACACCACGTGGTTCTACCATGACGATCTTGCACTCAAGAGGAGAAAAAGAGAAGAACTATAACTATACTGATGTAATTAACTGACTTCTGTATTGAAATAGATATCGAACCACAAACCAACAACTAGCGACCACGGGCTCTTTTAAAAAGATGCTGTATAAGATAACTCAGAATTACTTAAAATGTCTATATGACTGCTGCGCCTTGGATCGAAACTTGAGAGAACACTTTCATTATAACACGCCACAATGAAAATGTTATCTTCAAGCTATCGCTTATATTGAAGTATGAACATAATTTTTTTAACATTTAATGATCTGACAAACACGCGCGTGTTCACAATTTGCGCGTGATTAATGCTGCACAATTTGCGCGTGATTAATGCGTCACAATTTGCGCATGTTGAATGAAAATATTTGCGCGTAATTCTAGTCGCATGATTTGTATCATGTGATTTAAAATTTGTCGGTAGTTTCATGTATATTATATTGATTTTCTCTATTGACCACAACTTCAACGTTTATTATTTTTTATTTCTACAATTAATGTCTGTAGTAGCCGACAGCACGTTCTACTTTAAACTAATTAACTTAAATCATTTATAATAAGAACGGTGTGAAGCGTAAAAAGCTTAAACCTGACTGTGTGCAATTATCATAAATATTGCTAATCCCAATTCCAATAAATATAATCAAATTGTACATATCTTTAGAAGTAATTATATTTATAGGATTATTAAACTGTTTTGAACGTTATCGCATGAATTTGTATAATTGGTCACTTAGCGATTTTGTAAATTAAGATTTAAATTAAAAAATATCATGAATGACTATGAATCATAATGTTTATTTTTATTGTTTTATAACTATGTATAACCTTTTTATGCTTGAAATAAATAAAATATGAAATGTTGGTTGGTTGCTTTTGTTGAAAAACATTTTAGATTAAAAAAAATGTAAGGTAGTATTTTTTTTCATATAAGAGTATATTCCGTACCTCGCAATGAACACTACGTCAACTTAATTTTTAGTCATTTTCTGTTTTTATTTTTCACAAAAATTGTTTTTTTTTTCATATTTTGTTTTTTTTTGTTTCTTTATTTTTTTCACAAAATTCGGGGAGAAAAATATTAGGAAATATATAAGGCCGTTTACATTTAAAACAGAAAATGATCGAAAATTTACTTTGGTGTAGTGTTCATTGGAGATATCGATTTCCGAGAGACCTTTTTTTAATAAAATCGTATTTAGAAAGTCAACAGGCCTTCTGTGAGGCGTCCCTTATTCTATCAAGGTCACGACCTTGCTCAAGGTTATTTTTTAATTTTGACAGGACAGGTAGCACTGATGCGTGTTAATGAGGCGAAATACGTATGTAATTTTTTATTTTATTTTTTTAACTTAAAAGACGAAGTTTCGTTGACATTGTAGACTCCCAAATGCAAAGCTGGTGTCTCTACCTACTCCGATAAGAAAAGGGTGTGACTAATAATCAAATTTTGCGACTAGAAGTTAGAACCCACTAATTCTCGACTTTTTCTAGATGCAACAAGTCCTAAACTTGGAGCTGTGGGTTTTACGAGATAAAAAAATGGCGCCGCCAGAGTAAGCTTATTTCAGCGTGGACAATTTTAATGTACAAGACCAAAATAAATAAATCACCTTTTTATGACTAGAACCGACGGGTAAGGGTGAAATTACAGGCACATGGGACTACTAATAACTATCTTGCCCAACATACGGGTTCGATTCCCAGTAGAACCAATTTGGGAAATTAATTTTTCCAATTGGCTTTGATCTAGGGTGTCCTTTGTTCCAGCGTGATCAACCTTGAGTTTTTGAAATGTAGTCTGTTCTAGTTGTTAGCCTACAGCTCCGGTATCTATCTAGAAAATAAGAAGGGTACTGTACGTGCACCCGGGGTGGCTCACCCGAGGCACTAGCCTCTTAAGAACCGGATAAAGTCAGTGACAACGGTCAGTGAAAACCCTGTACACTGGCTGGTCTGGGGTCAGAACCTGAACTTAGAAAGTACTTGTGCACGCACAGGTTATATTACACTTCCAGTTTAAGCAAGAGCTTGATAGGGAGGGGTACAATAAACAAATGTTATGTAGAAAAGATATAGGAGCTGTTCTATTTAACTGCCTCCGTGGCCGAACGGTTACCATACCGGACTGCCACGCAGAGGTCCCCGGGTGCGATTCCCGGGCCAGGAGAAATATTTGTATGGCCTACATTTATTTCTCTCGTGAGTTTGGGTGTGATTTGTGGTTGTCTATGTGTGTCCATGGCACCCGCGACACAGGGTTTTCCAAGTGCGGGGCTATGTTGAGTGTGTGTGTTATTATTATTATTACTATTTGCAAAAAACTAGACTTAGTCAGTCCGCCGCCGCCGTTTCAAAGTTATAAGGGTATATCTGTCTACTTAGTACACCGCAGTAAATACTGTTGTTACACGAAAGAGGTCAGATATCAATTGGTGTGCTGGTCCCTTTAATATAATGTACCTGTTTATTACGTGAATGTTATTATTTATTATTCATATTAACATAAGAAATTCGCCTTATAATGTCGAGGTCATGACTTGACCTACCGCCTTAAGCAGAGCTTAAATTTAGTTTGAAAATTATCATGAGCTCGTTTCATAAACCCACATTTATATTTTAATATGACAGTCACATACACTACTATAGTAGTTATATTTATAATGTAAACGTTAAGTTTGTTTTACGGACCACGTCTACCTTTTTGAGGAAATTCCGATATATTTTATAGTAGGACTATAGACAGGTCTAGACTAACTCCAATAAAACTATCACAAAACAATAAACTGAAGTTATAGTTATAATAATACTTTCAAAAATATACCAGCGTTGCAAATCATCCAATTTGAAGTTTAGATAAGGATGAGCAGTAAACATGAAGATATAATAAAGTATTTTAATGTGATTCGTTAACAAATATCAATTCAAAATAAGTAGACAAAGACAAATCGAATTTGCTTTAGTATATTGAACTATGACCTAATTGAACTGCATTTTGCCTACGTATTAAATTTTTAAGCATCAAGAAGGCGCACAAAACCGCGAGGATGCCCGTACTAGGCGTTCAGTTGTTTAGTCTAAATCTTTTACACAATTTTGCTGTAGTTATTTCGCTTATTTGTGAAGCAGAAGAGAAATAAAGAAGAACAGGAAATGGAAAAGAGATATGTGGGTTCATGACTAATGGTCTTGTACTGTAAGGCAACTCTGTAGTTTTATAAAAGAGCGTTTAAGTGTCTATAGAACCACAAAATTCTGTATAACAGTGAAAACGTTCAATCAAAAATATATAGTAAAATTGATGATATACGCTGATTAGTATATAATGTGAAAACATGATTTGTAAAAATTTTCACAATACACAAAAAAACGCAAACTTACCTCGAAATTTTACAAGAAAACCGCTGTATTCAATACGTACTTAAATAGGTAATACCAATGATTTTTTTATATGAACTGAACTAAATAGAATAAAAATTAATAAAGTCAGTGTCCTGTCGCTCGACCTGCGCTATAGAACCTATTCAGACGGAAAAAAAAATTAAATTCGAGCTCAGGTAGTATTGATTCTTGAGATTCTGACAAGACGATCTGTTCAAAAAAATCAAACCAAATTAAAAAAAAATACAAATTATAATTATAATATCAAATTGATATTCAATTATTTTTTATGTCGATCTTTGTATTAATAATTATAACAAACTGGTCGAGTAATTTCACATAAAAAATCATTGAGTAACATAATTCAATAAAAATTTAAATACAATGAATTGCGACATCTCTAGCCAGGGCTGGTAGCTGTAAAGATATCTAACTGGACGACGAAATACTTAAGATTTCTCATAGATGGCGCTACGGCTAAAAAGTCGTTAAAAAAACCAAATACAAAAACACGACAACAAACACACAGAAAAATTCGTGAGGTCCGCTGGTTCGTTCCGTGACTTAGTTGGTATAGCGTCTGGCACTAGAAGACGTCGCACAGTGGGTCCAAATTGATAATTCTTGGACATAGGAATAACTTGTGGAGTATCGAGCTAATTTTTTTTTACGTGATAGTTAATAACATTCCTAACAACTTTTATTCTTGTATAATTTCTTGAAAAGTTGATGTTTGTTGTTGATGAAGTTTCGGAGAAAAAAAAATTTGTATGGAGAAATATACATTTTATTTTTTATCTCAAAATATACGAAAATGTAATGTGCTTGGGTTACTTACAGTATAGTTCCAAACATTTACTATGTAGAAAAAATAATCCGTCTGCATGTACTTGCGGCTTTGTAAGTAAAGGTGCGGCAAAATTGCTAACTTTTTATGTACCTTTTTAACAAAATACATGACCTACGAATAAAAAAAAATAATTTTAGCGTAATTTAGAGAATGTTATGACAATAACACGAAAGTTAAGTAGAAACTAGTATATTGTGTTAAAAAATTAATAACAAATCTAAAATTTTACCACCTTTTTACTCGTAAAGCCGCAAGTACCTGCAGATGAATTATTTTTTTTCTTTATAGAGAATGATTGGACCTATACTGCAAATAAACTTAATAAATATATAATACATTTAATACATTTCGAGATAAAAAATAAAATGTTTATTTGTCCAAACAAAATAAAACTAAAATTTTTTTTTCTGAAACAATCAGCTTTTCAAGAAATTACATAAGAATTAAAGTTATCAGGAATGTTGTTATTTATCATATGAAAAAACATATAATATAATTTAACCCATTTCTGCACACGATTTTTGCAGAAATGGGTTAAAATTAAAACCCAGGCGGATTGATTGAGTTGTAACCTACTGCCCATTTCTGTTTGTGAGCGATATTTGTAACTAATTAATGAGTATTTTTTCTGTACTTTGATCAATATATACAAAACGCTTTAATAAGTTGAGATAAGTTTCTGAGTTGTTATTATCTTCCAGGGAGTTTTACGATTCCCGCCCCTCAGAACTTGCGTTCAGTTCACATCATCGATCAAGTCACCAGATTAATTAGCAATATTCACTCAGTCTAATGGAAGGTATTCACAGAAGGTGACTTGCCGAATGTGGCCGCTATTCTCATCTACGGGTAGTGGTTGTTAATGAAAGCTTTCATCTTTCGAGTAAAGTAAGTCTGCATTAAGGTCAGAATTTACCAGAATTAGGGCCGAAACTACCCATATAAATACGTTATATGGGTAGATTTAATTAATTTCCACACAAACATTCACATTTATATGGCGAACGGCTGCGGAGTGGATTTCTCTAATTGCGGACTTATTTCCTGAATATAACTTGGGCCTTTTCACGGCGACAGTGAATAGGCAATATTTAGGCGTGCATGC